TACCTGAGACAGAACGGTGACTATGAATGTGTTTCATAGGTGAGCAAAAGGAAAATGTTTTAGGGAAAATAATGAATCAAACAGACCAGACTGGCCAGAGTGAAACCAAGAACCAAAGGAATGCACAGTTCCATATCACAGTCATTCTACTTTGTTTCCCTTGCCTCTTGTCTTTGTTAATCTATTTTCCTTCTCTCGACCATTCTGTCAGCCTGTCTCCCTCCCTGCTGAACATATCTCATCCCTCCCTTCCTGCTTGAACTCTCTTTGGACTCCAAATGCTAATTCAGTCAGGCACTTAATCAGACATATTAATTCCATATCTCCCCTGATTGCACTAATTCCACTCAGCAAAGCGTTTCACTGCAGCTGAATTTTGACATGGGGTGCTAACCGAGGTTTGTAAAAGCATTACTTTAAAACAAATGTCATGTTCTGACAACAAATGTAATGCAAGGATAATACGCTGGTCACGACTCTACATGGGGCAGTCTGTGTTGTATCATGTATCTGTTATCCTTCTGCCCTACAGCCTTTCCATTAGACAAGTACAGTATGTTTTGTGTCATCCTGGGAAGAATTACATGAAGCCTTCCTATTAAAATAAATGGACCTTCTTGCACAAATTGGCCAGTTACAAAATACAAAATATGGCAACAATTTCCACTGTTTTTATTTATATGGCACAGTATGTTGGCATATCTGTTTGTTTTTCACAAAAGGCTGGTTGTATGTTGCAGTGAATATTGACAGTCTTTTTACTACACAGTGGAGACACAAACATTTATGTACATGTACACAAACACATACTGTCGCACACATGTAGGGCTGCTCGATTATGGCAAAAATCATAATCTCGATTATTTGGGTCAATAATTGATATCACGATTATTAAAAACGATTATCCATTACTTTGAAAACATCAATTTATTGAAAAAAAAAACGTTTTTAACAGTTGATTACCCTGAACTTTAAGTATAATTCAATTGAAAAACCAACTAAACAAAATAATTTTTTTTTTTTTTTTAATTAATAATAATAAAAAAAATAAAAAGAATAATCGTTTTATTTCGATTATGTTGTTTTTATAATCGTTGCAAGCCAAAATCGTAATTGCGATTAAAATACGATTAATTGAGCAGCCCTACAGAATATGCCTGAAAAGCCCATAAGCTCTAAGATTGTCTACCAACAAATGGTGTACATGTATTAATTAAAATCATATTAAACTACTGATTTAGCCGTATTATAATTTAATTAAGTTACAGATTATGTAATTGAGAGAATTACAAAATTGCTTTCTTTGTTCAAGATAATTGTATTCCATCTTAATGCCTGATTTAAAGTATGTTAATTTATTTTATCTCATCATCATCGTTCTACTAAGACTTTTTTCTTTAAATGGAAAATATGGCCTGGAATCTCTGTGTGCCTGTGCATCATGTGCTTAGAGATTTCATGGATCCTTTTACTTTACTTCTTGATATGATCTCTGCTTGTTTTAACAAAACCAGTTGAAATCGAGCTATTATATTAATATAGTGATTTAACAAAAATATTGTACACTATAACTCTAATAAACTTGTTTTTTAACGTTTTCTATATATACTTATTTTTTCTTTTCGGTCTGGCCATTTAGTAATCTGTCCTGGCAAGGCCCTCTTCAGGACACAGATGGATTTACCATTAGATAATGACAAATGGCAGGCGCAGCTGAGCTGATTTCAGCACTTACTGCTCCTCTGGGAGCCTGTACTCACCACACTGCAAACCACACTGACCACCCCCACTGATCACCCCCACTGACCACCCCCACCCAAGATCTTAATTGAACGAGTGGCTGTGCAGCCAATTGATTCAGCCTGACATGCATTTCTGGTCATTTCCAGTGGGTGATGTAGTGTGACCTGCAGGTCAAACTCTGCTGCGATCTGGAGCAGAAGGTGCTGACATTAGTCTTGATTTGTTGGACTACTACTCTTCCACGGAGGGACTTTATCTCTGTGAGTTCATTGGAGATAAAGAAAGCAGAAAGAAATGGCCTAGCGATCACTGATGTCTTGTAGACACCTTAAGATACACAACTAGAGGTTTATTGGATTAACTGATGTTGAAGTTGTGATCAGATAATAAACACTGACCTGGTGTCCATGCAACATTTAAGCCGGCATTACATTTTTATGGAAAGAAGTGATTAGTGCAACATTTTTTCTATATATTGTGTTCCCAATTTACTTTACCTACAATGTTAGTGCTGCTTCATTTTGTGGTTCAGAATATGCCCCACAGAAGATAGCAGGCATCTTGCTGCCCGTCAGCATTTGGTTTAATATTCCGTTCTATTTAATTTCATTGAAAGTGGCAGTGACATAAGTCATGTTAGTTGAACAGATGCAATCTGATATATTTGCAACAACTTTCAAGTTGGTGATCATTTCCTTTTACCCGGGTTAAATGGCACAAACTGCCATTCAGTTGTGTGGTGCTGCACATATTGTGTGGATATACTTTTTTAAAGAAATTAAAGACTAAAGGAAACTTTTAAAAACAGGTAATATTTTATTTGGATTATTTTTCAATAGATAAACTTGCTTGTGGTTTACTGTAAAAGGAATTAAAGGAAGGCTAGAGTTAGAGCTCTGCACTCATACCCTGTAGGAAGAGGAACATAGTAGTGCATAGTGTAGTTAAATAACAAAACTTGTTAGATATATTTACAAAAATGGTCGTCAGGAAGAACATAAAATGTTGTTTCATGTCTGTCCTGAAGAATACCCAACCACAAATGAAGCAGCAGCTGTCTCTGACAGACCAGGCTGTCTGCATGTTTAAGTTGATGGTAATTATAAGAGTATGGTCCTTTCTTCTTAATTATAAAGAACATATATCTTTGAGACACGTTCTGAAACACTGGCTCTTGACAAGCTTTGAAAAATGCAATGATGCAGTGTTTTGTCAAAGAAGAAGGAAAGCCAGGGGGGGGTGTATGTGTGTGTGGGGTGCAATATTGATGTTGTTGATAATAACAACATTGATAATGATTACACCGGCAGAGCCCAAATCCATCATCGCTATCTGTGGGCATCATTTGTCATTCTTAGTGAAGTGAAGCCAGAAACTATTGCATAGTTGTTTCTGCTGCACTTTATGAGGTTTCACAATATGTAGCAATTGTGTAACTTACGTAACCAGGTAATTTTGTAAATATGTTACCTGTACAGCTTGTAAACAATGATGTCTTATTTTAATTGAATTGTAACATTGTATTTCAATGTATGTGTTTGCCATCATTATAGAGCTTAGAGCTGTAGACTGGATATATGAGTTCAGTTGAGACTTCAAAGTCCTGTCTGTGATATTCTATATTTTCATCAATTAATAGAAATCTCATTAAAAAAAAAAAAGATTGATCCTACTAACAAGTATTGCCTAGGTAACCAAAGTGTTCTTTTTTTTAGATATACATGAGCACTGTACTACAATCTAACGTACGCTGTGGTGCAGCCTTCAATACTCACTTGAGCAGCGAATCTTAGACAGTCACCAACAATTATGCAATTCACTTTAACATTTGCTGTGACAAAAAAGCTGTTTTGGGCTTTATTTACAGTACAAATAAAAGGTTGTTATACGTTTTAAAAGATTTGCATCTTCGAAAGAAACAAAGTGATTCAGGAGTTGGTCTACCATAGAAAGGCTAATACATGTTTAGTTTTTTTCATAACCTGTGTTTTTCGAATTATTTTATATTGTAGGCCTTTTGTCGCAAATTTTTCTCAGGTTATGATTTAGCTATATTGGACGAAATCTTATTTTGCAATATGCTGGTCATTGTTTACTGTACAATGCAATTGATAGACATCAATTTCTAGTCATCTTTATCCAGACCGTACCTGTTTATAGAAGCGTATACATATCTTAATCTTCTTCACACAATAGCTGATGGGTTCCAGGAATACATGCTCTCTACACCGACTGTTTACCTGCCAACTCAATTGAGATTGGTCAATATTACATGGACTACAAATAGAAACATGAAACTAAATATTGTCCTGTCTTCTGCAGACTCTGCATTTAAATATATTTACAGTATCTGTTTATAGCTATTACGCCTTGGTTAGCTTGTTTAAGCAATGAGAGAACATCTGTTGAGAAACTGTTTTATTTCACTCCAATTGGCTAGTTAAGAGCTTATTCTTATTCATTTAGACACATTCTTTCTATTCATTTGTTTAATATTGTATTAGATGGGTCAAGATATGTTTGCAGTTTATTCGCTGCTGGTCTTCTGAGTGTAATGCAACTGTAATATGGAAACACTTCTCACTGGCAATGCTGCATAAATGAGACAGAGACAGCAGAACCCCTTATCGTAGAACAAAGACTGGGGTCATGATAGGCTCACACGGTAATGCTCCTGTGGATCAAACACACGCTTATTTGCTCTCACAGTCCTTGCTCTGCACTAATGGATGGCAGGTGCGATGGAGAGCTTTATCTCGGTTTGCTTTTGTCACCCATAATTTATTCAGCAGGGTCTGCCCTCTGTGTTGTGTGTTCCTGTGTTTTTTTTTGTCCTAAATGTGTGTGTTTGTGATGCGTTATGGCTTTGCACGTCCCCTCGTCCCTGGGGAATGAGCTCTTACGACTTTCAGTTGTGTACTGTGAAGTTCCTCTTGTTATATCAAGGTTCTAAAAGGCACAAAAATATCAGCATCAGCAGAGATTGCTGAGGAAGTAGTTGAAAGGAAAACTAACAAGATGACTCGATGATTATTTAGAAACAGTAAAGAGAATTTTGAATTAGATATACTGTAACCTGGGGGTTTAATAAACTGCATTTTTGGTAGTTGAGTAGATACATCATAAACTTTCCATAACAGCACATTATTCAAGGCCTGTATCTTATGAAACTGAGTGGAACTGCAGAAGCAACAAACTGTATCACTGTTAGTCTGTTTTGAAAATATTCTTACAGTTTTGTCTCATGTGTTTTTCAGGGACAGCTTTACGGTGGATTTGAAGTTAACATGAGGACGACCAGAACCCCTTGGAACAGTGATTGAATTGGCAGGTGAGAAATGACACAAACCCAGAAGCCATCCTAATGTGCCATAATGCTTTCAGAAAACAGATAGATTGAAAGAAAATACTTGTTTTCGGCTTTTTTTCATGTCAGAGGTGTATGTGGTTGATTGAAACTCTAATTAGGAGACAAATATGGCATATTCTTATTCAAAACTGTACCTGAACCGCCTGAGAATAGACCTTTTCAGCCAGAATAAATCACTCTTATTACCGCTGAAAGCTGCACTTCTTCAAATGTGGGAACACAGCAGAGTGCAAAGGTGCCTAATTATTGGTGGATCGGAGACTATACTTTACCAGCATATATCTCTGTCTTCTGACCAATGAATGCTGGTCCTCAGCCCCCTTTGATCATGAAAAGGATTTAGTTGGGAACATAAATAAATGACGGAATTAATTTATGAACTTTGTGCTATTTCTGTCCCTGCACCTTACACAAATGTGTTGTGGCTATTTCATGAGTGAGCCTCAAAATACTTTAGTCACATTATATAAAAGTATATGTTTGCTCTATGCTATTTAGGGTTTGGTCAAAACGGCTTCTTTTTTGAAATGCCTACACTTAAGTTAAAGGATGTTGTTAATGAGCAATTGGGCTTTACTTTAAGAGGAGAACACCTTGAAAGTAAATATGAATTGAACATTTCTGTTCAATCCATAAAGACAGAATCATTTGTGGATTTGTAGCATGTTTAGCAGGTTGTCCATTGGAATAATATTTTTGGGGAAAATGGGGACATCATGAGAAAACCTTTTTTTTTCTAATATATTGCTCTTGGTCCTTAAAAATACCCAGACAATATGTGACTTTTTTACGATCATCAAGAGTATTTGTTCAACATATTGGCTCCCACAAGATAGCCTACCCCACTATTACACTTTCACAATCATGACTAACAGGTAGAAAATGTATTATGGTTAATATGAGCATATTTTGACTTTTCCCATATGTAAACCCATCTTGTAGAAGGAACTACTATCAGACTATTTTAGGCTTTTTAATCATTCTGTATCTGTATTTTCTTTTAGCCTTTGATACAAGCTTGTTCACAATGGCAAGGCTGCTGTACTATAACTTTTTTTTTAATCCAAGGCCAAAATACACACAAGTGCTGTGTATAGTATATTTAACAAGATATATGTTAGAGTCTGTGTCACTGCTTGGATTAATTAGTGAGGCCTTAACTTTACATTTTGTCTAGCAAGTTCCATTACTATATGTAGGAAAAGCATATGGTTGTCCCCCACATGTGGTACAGATTGTAGCATAGAGAACATAAATGCTGATGCAATGAATTGCACAAAAATACAGTTTGAAAACAATAAATGTATGTAAAAGATGAAATACCAAATTAATATCAGCTCCGTTACTAAGGGATTGAATCGCCTAGAAATTATTTAGATGATACAATGACAATGACAGAGAGAGATTCACAATATGTCTGTGGTTCCAGTGTGGCTAACTACATCAAGCAAAGTCTTCCGTATAGGCTTTACCCAATCACCTCAGTGAATGAGAAATTACCCACGGTTGCTTTGAAGTCTATGGAGAAAATGGAAAGGGAGTACGATATAAGGATGGAAAAATAAGGAGAACTGTATGACTCAAGCAGTGTTTCTATGCTGGTATCTCTTCTCTCATATTTCACCTTTGTGTCAGGTTTTTGGAGTGCACACAGAATCAACCACAGGTCTGAACAGTGCTAGTGGAACTCATGCATGTAACTTCCACTACACGCCTGCTCTTGGTGTGAACTACTATTGCTCTGTCTGGGAGCTTTTACTTGCAACCACTGTTACTCAAGGCTGATGATGCTGTTTTTCTGTGTTGGCCACATGTTGCCATCATTTTTTGTCTATTATCCCTATACCACAATATATCATTCTGGAGATTTCGATGCAGAAGCATATCAGACCCTGACTATGTGGCCTCTTTGACAATCTGTTTTGTCGAGATGGAAACTCACATATAAAAGTGATGATTGCCAGACCTCTTTGAAAGCTAAATGGCATTCATCTTATTCAATATGACTGGCATGAATAGTTGCTATTACTTCAAAGCTCCTTTTCATGTGCTGTTTCTCATATTTTATCCACCCTTTATATCTATGGTGCAGGAAATGGTGTTTCTGCATGAAAATTATATTGAATCTGTGCAATGGAATCAATCCACGATTTTTCTTTTTTGTCCAACAAGAATAATTACATTAGTCTCAGGTTGTGAAGAATTATTGAATGAGAAAACGATAACTCGTCATACACTATTACAGGACTATTGAAACTACGATTAAACAAACACCCACCTGCAGAGGCTGTCTGGGAGCATTACTGTTCTTTGCAAAGCAATCCAATAGTCTTGTAATATTACATTTATTTACAACCTAACACATTTATAAGAAAAATGTGTAAGCACAGTCAATTGAAGTCCTTAATAAAATGAGTGCACTCTGCTTTCTTTCCACCGTTTATTCTTTGAATTTTGAGTGGGTGTATGAATATGAAGGGAGAAAGAAAAAAAAATAGGGCTTGGTATGAAAGAGCGAGGATATTTATTATTTCATAAATGTACTCTTCTTTTGTAAGTCTTCTACTTTTTTTCTGGCAGAATAATTTAGTGAACTTACAGTGGTAAAAATAATAGTTCATACAATAACAAAATACTATGACGTAAGTTTTATAAAGTCCTTGATCAGTCTCAATTTGTGGTTATAAACACTTAGCCGCTGTATCATCCTGTAGTACGATAATAAAATCCAGCATTCAGAACTGAGAAGCCTCAAGGTGTTTTTTTTCCTGTGTGTATCGAATCAATAGGGGAATAAGAGTGTTGTTATTGTGAGCTCAACAAGGGCTCTAAATTGTTCAATGTTAACTGCAATTGTAATACAAATCCAACAATCTTCCAGCATGACCAAATAATACTGTACTGAGTCAATTGCCTAAACCCTGATGAGGAACACAATTTGTTTATTTTCATTTTTAACGACACACAAACCCCTCTGAAGACAAACACACACACATGACGAAGCTCAACATAATCTTTTTCTATTCTTAAATACACAAAAAATAATTCTCAAATCATCAAACAATACTTAGAAAATACAACTCAGCCACCCACACGCATAATTTCATATTCAAGTTCATCAAAATAAGGGATGGAAGTCTACTTATTGCACAAATTATTTGTTGTAATAACATGTTTCCAAACCACCAGAGGTCTCCCCACACTCAATGTTACCATATTAATGATACCAAGTGTCATTGTGGCCACATTTTCTTACTGTCAATTAGATAACTTGTCTAAGCATCTGACCTTCAGTCCAACTGATGTTACCAGTACACTGACACATCAATCCAGGAGACATTACAAGAATGTGTCCTTGAGCATGTCTACACTGAACAGATGTTGCAATCAGTCAAATGGCTTCAGAACAGAGGTGTAGTGTCCCAGTGTCTTTTCAAACGGATTTTAAGTGTACAATAATCAATCTCAAAGCCAGATGAATTAAATCACACTTTCAATCTTAACAGGCTCTTAATGTTATTATATTTGTTGACACTGTAGCCTCTGGTTTTGTAGATATCATCAGTGTGCTCTCTATCACCCTCTTATCTCACATGTTCTCTCAAGCCCCAAGCTCAATCACAGGGAGGCTGCGCTGCCTGGATGTCCGGGTTTGCAGCCTCTGAATGACCTCTGCGTGGCTCGGTCAGACTCCATGTGATGCATGCCAACCCTGACCTCAACCGGACACCGCAAAGACAGCGGTATAACGGACTGACTCCTTCATCCCATATCCTTGAAAGGGTCGTGGTTGGAAGCCATTTTCTGCCTACAGCCTCTCTGAAATGTTCACAGGGTGAAGAATGATTTTATCAATACCTCTTGTCACCCACAAGCCCCCACCGCCAACACACTGCTCAGTGTGAAACAAGGAGGCTGTTACGTATACAGCTTGTAAAGATTCTCACATGCTAAAAGCATACACCACGGACACGTTCTCCCATAGAAAAACACCTTCTGTTGAAAATCTGGGCAGTTGCTGCAAATCCTTAGAGTAAAGTGAATCGAAATACTGTACATAAGGACAAAATAAGAAATCAGAAAATCACAATTAATGACTCCATTTAGACATTTGCTCTACTGTATTGATACATACAGTATGTTAATACTTGTCCTTTATTGTAAGTGTGTGAACAATATTTTATTTTGCACATTCCTGCTTAGGTGCATGTACCAGCTCATAGAGAAGCATGTGTATATAACCTTGCATGTGTTTTCAAGGCCAGCAGCTCTAAACAAGCTGCACTTTAGTCTGCATAGGCCAATTGACATTACTGCGGCTCATTTGTCAGGAAAATGCTTGGCTCGGGGGTCATCTTCTGACTGAGGGGGAGGCCAATTGCTCTGTCTCTGTGTAGAACTGGGTGGCACCTGAATAACAAGTGTGATGCACTGAAATAATGATACACCGACTTCATCACGCTGTGGTGACACACCTCTATCTCTAGCGGATACTGAAACGTTGACTCACAAGTAAAGCATTGTCACTAATAATGTTCTCATTCAAAAAGAAAGAAAGATGCGTCATATTCAGCAGATGTTGGCAGAAATAAACACTGGGGAACTTGTGGGGGCTGACATTGACAATGTATGAGGTTCCAAAAAGTTGTAACTCACAACCTTAACTTTAAGAAATGTTATGTAGAAGCTTGAAACTTACAGTGTACATACTCTGAGAATGGACCTTTCCCTATAGGACTCATTGTGTCTAGTAGTTAAATTGTGGAAATGAACGATACTAACATTATTCTAAATGTTGTATTTGGTTCTAATATTTTAGGTAATTGCATTTTTTCAAACATTGTCAAAAAACCATAGACTGTATATATAAAGCAAAAAACATGTCTGGAGTTTTCCCATTTTTTACATTTGTTTGAACAAAAATGTTTGAGTTTACCATCTACGTGCAACCTTCAACTATA